TTAATCTACTCCGTTTCCCAACTGTAAATAAATGTTTGGAAATATATAACGCATAATCAAGCCGATAAACCATGACCAAAAGAAGCATCTTAAATTAAAAACAACATTCCACTCTTGCTTAAGTGTCTTGCTAAAAAAAAAAAAACACTTTTTCATGTAATTAAGTAAAATTTATCTTGGTCAAAATGAGACTGCGGTGAGCTGTTTGCATGCAAGTGTTTTTATCGTCTGCAAAGGACAAAGTAACAATGGTGCACTGTTAGCATGCTAGTTGTTACAAGTAGAGTGATGGCCAAACTTGTGGTGAATAATTAAAATGTTGGGAACGCATTTGGAAAGTAAGTAATACATTTGGACCACTACAAACAGTCTAAAACGAACAAATTCTGTTTTTCACAGTTTGAAAACGGTAAAAATACAGGGCCTAGTGCGTATGAAAGGTTCTGATTTATTCTTTAATTTTGGCTTAATTTGGTGGGATAATACGGGTTGTACATGTAAAATATAGTTTTATACCAATCAAGAAGCAGTTTGCAAAGAAAAGTTGAAAAATATGTTGAAAACTACAGGAAAGTTTTATAAAGTTCTATTAAAGAGAGTTCAGTATTTATAACATCACACTGGGAGAATTTTGTCCAAAAGTTCAGAAGAATTTACACAAAATAAACAATGTTTCCCAATGTTTTAAACATTAGTTAAAAAAATAAAGGTGTTTTATTGTAATTTTATTTACCAAATAATAATCTCTGTTTACATTAGAGGAGTTTTGCTCTTGTGTACAGCATGGTTGCTAGGTAACAGTTATGGAATTCCCAAGTGTGATGATTTTCTAGCCAGGCTGGTGCCACCGAGGCCGCTCAATTTCATTTCACTCCAGCGACTAGATCAGGAATCAGAATACACTAAACCAGGGGTGTTCAAATTTTTTTCATCAAGGGCCACATGAAGCAGAGGGCCGATCGAGGGCCATAGACTGGTGCTAAATACAGTGAATAATTGAAATATGTGCATGTTTAGCACATTAGAATGAGCCATCAGTCCTTTATTCATGCTAAGATCCTCAAAACCAAACACTATATATTAAATATTTATCAAGGTACATTTTCAAAAAAACTTGCAATAAAAAGTAAATTTTTCATTGATGCAAGGTACTTTGGGCCAATTCTCCTGGAAGCCTGAGGGCCAAGAAAAATTTGTCTGAGGGCCGCATTTGGCCCACGGGCCATAGTTTGGACATGAATGCACTAAACGGTTTGCAAGAACCCTGGAAGTTGTAGACCACGCACCAACCAATCAGCGAAGAGCTGTGAAGCCATGACGTCAAACTCAAGCGCCTGTCTGGGTCCCTTTTGTGATACAGCACAACAGTAAACAAAGCGTCGAGATGGATGTAGATGAAGCCAAACATTCTGTGTTGGCAATGTTTCCCGAGATCGAGGATTTTCATTCTCAGTTTTGTTTGCTGTTGTGCCGGCAATTACTTGGACAGCACTGAGCGTTCCGATGCATTACGTACGTCACGGCCAAATAGCAGCGATTGGTTAAATTTTAAAAAATGCCTGCCTATCGACGAGCGAATGAATCCTAATACAGTCAGACAGTTTCCACAAAGTGAAATCGGCCAATAAATCAGGCTAATGATTTTCAACCAGGAAGTACAAATTTTAACCTAAAAAAAGGATTTAAAACATTTTATAAAATAAAACATAAAAAATAAATAAATAAAATAAAAAAAGAGTGTTTTAGTAAAATAAGTAGTTCAACTTGTCATAGGCACTTTAAGCAAGACTAAAACTACTGCAACATCTGTTTTAATGCAGTGTATCCTCTGTCTCTTCTGGTCACAAAGTCATACAAGGTGAATCTCATCAACAGTGACAGAAAGCCTCCTCCAGCACTTAAACGAGAGCTAATGGTCGACACTCAAGGCCAGAACCAGCTCCAACGATTGTTTATAAAGCTCACACCTGTTGCTGTGAGTGCTGCCACCTCTGCCTCCCGCTTTCACACTCAGATGCTAATGACACAGGAGTACGCCAATGACATGCACCACACACCACAAATGAAAGGAACCAATAAAAAGAGGGGATGAGGAGAAGGGAAGAGGCGAGGGGGGGTTCACCTTGAACGTCAGCATCCAGCAGGGCGTCTGAGGAGATCCCCGGGGCAGCGTGAAGTCAAGCACAAAACAGTACTAACCTTGTGATAATAACTGCAGTATGCTGACAGTGTATTTTATATAGACGTAATGTCACTATGGTGGAGGTTGATTTATGTCTATGCAATTTTATTTAGGTTGTGTAAAACTTTTATGTATTAGTATTAAGTTCATATATATTTACATCATATACATTAAAAGGTACAGTATGTAACTTTCTAGAGGTATCATGTTGCCTGCATTATTCCATGGAAGTTAAAAAACAAACTTCGGGAATATTCTCCAAGGAGATAACCAAAGGAACAACATTTTCCTGTAAACAAACAGGAGGAGACCCTTCCAGGCTAAATAAAAGTCAAGTTTGTAAAGATCAAAGCCTGCTCACAGTAAGGATGGATACTTTCTTATGTTTTTCAGTCCAATTAACACAACTAAAAACAGACACATTTTTGGCAAAGTTACATACTGTGGCTTTAATTAAAAAAAAAAAAGAAGAAGAAACCTGCATTAAATCTTCCGTATTTTTCGGACTATAAGTCGCAGTTATATAATATTCAGCTGAAAACAGTAATCGAGCAGCAGAAAGAAAGTTTGGAGTAAGCGAAAAACTTGTGAGGGACTGACAGAAAGGCAGGGATGGAGAACATAGCTCCACGGTCATTGGAAAGATGCACCATGCAACTTTCCTGGAAGTCACTGGATGGATCGACAAAGCCTTCAGTGAGAACAAAAACTATCCTATCGGGATTCAGAAAGGCCGGAATAATTCTAACTAGAACTGATACCAAGTCTGACAACAGCTACACAGAAAAGGAAGCAGCGCTCCGTTTACTTCCGGAGGTCGTGGAGTTGCTCAGAAGTGACACCGAGGATGAAGAATTCAATAGATTTATTGATCTGGAGTGAGATCGAGAGTTTGGTAAACTTGTTCTGTTCTGCTGTTTAAGCTATAGTTATCTAAAGAACTGTTCATATGTGACGTTAACAGTCTGTTGTTCTCTGTTCTATTGTTACTACTATAACTTGCCTTTCAAGATGAAATGTCGGTTCCTGGTCTCTGATTTTATCAAATACATTTTCCCCAAAAAGCGTGACTTATAGTCCGGTGCGACTTGTGTATGTTTTTTTCTTCTTCACTACGCATTTTTTTGGCTGGTGTGACTTATACTATGGAGCGACTTATAGTCCGAAAAATATGGTACTGTTGTGATTCTAATAGTTTTGGTAAATTCATTAATTTACTGTTTCTTGTCAAAGGAAACACAGCAGATGGAACATTCATATTCCTCAATAATAGTCTCATTGGCAAGCAACTAGTCCTGACCTATCCAAATCAAGATTAACACTCATAATTAACTCATCCCCATTAAGAATTATATTTAGTCTAGTGTTATTATCATTTCCCATTGACTAAACAAATGTGTCACCTGATTTTGCCCTTGTTGTAAGATCTTAAAATTTGCATGGGCCTCTAAACCGCAGTGCGAGCTTTACGGAGAGGTCGCTTGCGTTTGATGAATAATGCATCTCACTGGGAATCCTACACATCTTTATTTATATTGTTGCTTCAGCTGTGATCATTTACCGTCTCTGTATTTACATTTCAGACAGTATAAGCGATTGCCTACTGACCTTAAAGCCTGATTGAGTTGAACCGACCGCTGGCCTTTTCTAATAGGCCACATAAAGCAGTACCTAGGTAAGTTAAAGCTGTACTATGTAACTTTTTGGTTGAGGGTCTATTACCTGCTTGTTTCTATGGAAATGTCATGCCTTTGCTTGGAATGTTGAACTGAATTAACAACATTAAACAGTTCTACCATACATTTATTAAATTACTCTATTCTTCGAACTATAAGTTGAGCTTTTTTCATGGTTTGGGTGTTTCCTGCAACTTATTCTCTGGTGTGACTTGTATATTAAAATTTTCACACTGACAGCTACGAGATGCTCTAGGCTTGTGTGTCAGTATCTGCTGCTTCTATTACTCCTGTACCACTGTCACTTCGCTACTACTACTGCTGCGCATGTCTCCTGCAGAAAGAGCCACTGTCCAGTCTGGGATCATGTCAGTCGATCGCACCATTACTTCTGTACCACTGAAAATTTTAAATTTAAAGAAACATAAAGACAACCGAAATCATCCTGTCGGCATTCAGAAAGGCTGGAATAATTTTAACTGATGCCGAGTCTGACAACAGCTAAGCAGAAGCGGAAGTGGCTTAAAGATTTGGAGTGAGATTGAGCGTTTGGTAAACTTATGTTAAATTGTTTATGCTATAGTTATCTGAAGAAGTGTTCATATGTTACATTAACAGAGTGTTACTCTCTGTTCTATTGTTATTACTATAACTTTCCTTTCAAAATGAAATGTCGGTTCCTGATCTCTGATTTTAAAAAATACATTTCCCCCAAAAAGTGTGGCTTATAGTTCGAAAAATACAGTATAGGTGGTTTTATTGGCCATAAATTCCTAGAAACCTGTAACTTGATCTGGTTTGGTCTCCATGAAACATTCCAGAGAAAACAATAACATCTCCACGGAGAAAATAATTTGATAGACTCTCCACCAGAAAAGTTACACAATGCACCTTTAAAATTACTTAAATTAAGAACATTTTACTTTATTTGAGTAGCTTCAACTTGACACTTGAAATTATCTACCAATGAAATGTGTTTTTTCTTAATTCATGCTATATTAGATTATTTTTCTTATTTTAAGTGTAAAGTGTTGTTGTTTTTCTTAAATATAATAATAAGATGTATTTTCATATTTGAACTACAAAAACTTTCTAAATTCAAGTCATCTTCATTTAGATTTTAGTATTTATGATCTCCGTACCTGTGAGGCTATCCGGGCGCGTCATCCTCTCGTAAATATCATAACTCTGGGGTCCGTATGGGTCGGAGCTGTGGAGCATGGAGCGAGGCAGCGTGGAGCTGTAGTGCTGTGGAACCGCCGTCATGCTCGCCCTCACCGGAGACGACGAATGGACCGGCTGCTTGGTGAGCGGCGCGTTGGCGTTCTCGCCCATGGTTAACGGAGAACCCATGCGCCCAGAGGATGACGCAGAAGCTTGGTACGGCGACGTGTTCCTGCTCCCCGTTCTCGAATTCGCAGACCCCACGCGGCGTAGTCCTGACGGGGAGTTTTTCTGTGTGGCGTAAGGGGAGGAGCCGGCGCAGGTGGTGTTGGAGCGTTGCACAGTCGGGAGAGTCGTGGAGAAGATGCTGGTTAAGGGTTTGGGTTCGGTGATGATGGGGGAGCTGTAGGGGCTGTTGACGGAGGTGCGGAGGGAGGAGCCACGTGACGGGCTGGTGTAGGCGGGGGAGTGGGAGCGGGAGGGGACCGAGCAGACTCTACGCATGGCCCGGCCCGGGACAGCTGAAGTAACCGCTGAGACCTGTGGAAAAAAGAAAGACAAGTTTAGAATGTTAAGTGGAGAAGTTTACTATATGAGATAGAACAATATCCACATTTCTTGATACGATATTTTCAAAATATGCATCTCACAGTGCAATATTTATTAAGATATTTTGTGGAGGCTGACAAAAATGTGAATATGATACTTTTCTGTCGTATTCAAGGTGATTCAGATTTACAAGTGCAGAATAGACTTTTTTCAAAACATCTGGAAGTGCCACGAGTCATGTAAACGTAACTTCCGGTTCATACTTTTCTATGGCAAAATATCTATGGAAATATCTCACGCATTTTCCAATAGCTTCATAAATCTGCCCCATCACCAAATCTTCATCCAACAAGATCGACAAAGGAAATATTCTGTTCATGAAGAATTTATCCAAAACTATCAAGGTAAGAAAGACAAAAATGTAAAGGCGAACTACTCCAGCAAAACTAAAATTATGGTCATGAATAAAACATAAGTAACTTGTTAACTCAGACTGGTTCTACAATTAAAATTAAAAATCGATTGATGTAGATATAGAGATTTGTGCAGTTTAAATGACAGACATGTAATCTGTGAACATCTGTAGCTTTCAAACTGCACAAATCTGTCTATGCTACTCCACTCTGGCCTGTGTTGTTGAGAAAATCTCTTATAAACTCACCCCAGTGATTAAGTAGGATGCTGGGAACGCGTTAGGAAAGAACGGAATACTTATGGACGGCTGCAAAAATTAACTAGCTCTGTTTTTCCTGTTTATAAGACAGTATAAATCAGGTACAGTGCCTTTATATTTACCAACTCAATTACACAATGCAGGCAAGTAGAATGTAGTGTTGTCATTGGATGTGAAGGATTTTGCGAGGACCTTTGCCCATTCAAAAGATATAATATTTAGATTTGGATGGCTTAAAAGTGCACTGCGTAACTTTTTGTTTAGGGATCTGACACCTGCTGATTTCTATGGAGATGTCATTGCTCTGCGTGGGATGTTCCACAGTATGACATTCAACAGCTCTACCTTACATTTATTCAATTATAGGTGGGTTATAGCTACACGTCGAAACAATGCAGACGCCAGGAGAAGCAATGCAGACAATAAAGGCTGTGATTGGTCCTCTCTACCACCGCTCTACATACATTTCAATTTCAATAGACATTGAGTAATTATGTGTTTAATGCAGCTTTGTGTACATTTGTTTACGTTTTACAGAAATTAAACTTAAACCCACATGGCTCATTTACATAAACTATAAGCACTAAAAAAAAAACAGCTCGCTTCTTGTACTGCAGATGCGTTCAGTTTCTGTCGAACTAAAGGACACAACGCAGTGGAATAAGTATGTTCTTTCTGTGACAGAGGATGTGCTGACGATGGTGAGTCTGTTCTGTGCTTCTATGGCCTTGGAGATGGTTCATGTTAAACTTTACACGAACGCCAGGTTTAAATCCTAGCCTCGACACAGATCCATAAATCAAAAACGACAGCAACAAAGTGACGGCGGCAGTGTGCATTGAGTCGACGCAGAACTATACTTCACTCTTAAATTGGGCTTTTTAGGAGCACTGCAAAAAAACATGGCTTTGAAGCTCCCAAAATTGTGTTGTCTGAGATCACGATTTTTGATCCAAAACGAAAGATTAAATCATTCAGCCCTAGTTATAGCCAAAATATACCTAAAAAGCAGGCTCTCTGACTGTGAGTGGGGTCGCCTCTCCACAGACCTGACCTGTAACTCGGTCCAGTTTGCGCTCCATGATGATAGAAATGTTTAATACCACGGCAAAAACATTTGACGGACCCTCCACCAGAAAAGTTACGTAATGCACCATTAATCACTGTGCCAATCGGATAAAATGGCCATAGCCTGAAGCCTGTGATTATATTTAAACCCACAGTGTGCACGTACTAGTATAGCCCAGGTTTTGTTTATTCCCCCATGGTCCCGCCCCTCCCTCCTTTGTTGTGTTTGACAGTGCCATTTGGTTTCTCAGTGGTCTCTGTGTACGGCCCTGTATGAGGTGGGAGAGTGCACCGTGTACCTTCTGTGCCCTGTAGCCATACATAGCTACAGTAAGGGGAAAAAATCATAGCAATTACAGTTTACAAGTGTTAGAGTGCTCCAAACAATGGCAGTTATGTGTTTTTATATTGTGTTTTACAGCGTGTAGTATACAGGTATATAAGGGTGTTTTGTAGCTTTACTTTTAAATCAACAAAGACCAGAGCAGAGGGTTTAGGTATATAAAAGGTAAATCAATCTAAAACCAGGTTATTTTAAACGCTGAATGTCTTTGTGCCATATAGGCTACGCTGAATAGATCACAAAATGCTTACAATTGTGTAGCTATTTTAATGGGTCACCACCTGCCTCACAACTATGGACAAGTTTTATCTGAGTGCTCAATTTTAACTTAATACATCTTGTTGAAAATGTGATAGTGTAACAAAAAAGAAAGAGAGAGAGAAATGTACCAAGGGAAATACAATATGTTCTCTTCCAAATGGTGAACTCCTGAGTATAAAAATGTTTTTCTCTCTGGTATGGCAAACTGGCAGAGAAGTATGCACTCCAATTTACTACAATGGCAACTTGAAACAAGATGACCTTATCTTTAGCTGCCATGTATCAAGGACACCAACAAGTTGGTTGGAATCTCTACAATCTGGCAACTCAAAGATGTTCACTTTCCTAATTTGACACTCAAAACACTACCAATGTTTCCCGCAGCACTTTATAGTTAAGGCAGTCACCACGTCCCGCCGAACCACGTCAATCCTGCAAAACTACGGTTGCACAGAATCTCTGCAGACCTCTACTCCTCACTTCTTCTTTGTGCGCACCCCCCTGCTCCTCACTTTTTCGGCAGTGTCACCTTGCTTCTTGCTTACTTCTGAACTTTCAATTTGAGAACAGATTTAAAACGGATTACCGATTACCGATTGTTTATAACACAGTGCAACCAATGACCCATAACCTCTGCCGATATTTTTGAGCCGATATATAGGGACAATTTTTATAATTTTTCTCAAATTATGTTATTTAAATTTACTGCAAAGTCACCCACAGCACTTTTATATTTTTTTTACCATAAACCTTTAAAGGTTGTATAGAGGATTTTTTTAAGGGCAAAGAAATACAGCGACAGTTCTTTTTCAAATATTGTGCACGTGTGACACCACCTTCCTCCTCCCCAGCTCCCTCAGTAGAAACACCTCTTCCCGCCTCCTTACTCTAGAAATCTCATTTGTTTACAGCCAGTGACGTTCAGAATTACTGTTGAAGTGACCTGTCTAGAATGAATTTAGCGATCGACACATCAGTTTAGACTTTTCGTCTGCTTCATTCACGCAGTCGTTCGAAGAGATTCCAAGAATCACCTCAGTTTGGCTTTGCTTTTTCCCCTTCTCTTTTTCTTCAGCGACCTCAAAAACTGAGGTCTTTCGCGGCGAACTGGTCGTGGATTTCGTCCGCCATCGCAACGAACTTCGTGCGAACTACGAGGAAGCTACAGTTAAAAAAGCCTCTAAGAACCGCTGCATAAACTGCATAATCCCCGTGCGCTGGCAAGTCAGTCACACTAGAAATGTAGGGAGTTTGACTGACAACCTAACAGCCAATAGAAAGTGAGGCAGCCTCGTTTTCTATTGGCTGATGTTTATCTGGCCTCAACACGTCCACAGTTGATAGATTTTCATTCTTTTTTTTTTTTTTTTGGTCATCATAATTACAAGGCTGCTGCATCTCTGTAATGGTATTTTAAACTTTCATTAACAATTTGAAACAAAAAATAAATCCTCCATACAACCTTTAAGAGAGTGCAGTGGTGGACTTAGCAATTTGGGGGCCCTAGGCGAACTTGAGTTTGGGGCCCTCACTATAATGCATTTTGTTGTTTTGTTTTTTTTTACTATTTACTGTCTGTTTTTCTCTATTGTTCATGAGCCATGCACATCTTCGTTTGAATTAGGGTGGATTGGAAACTTGTCTAACTTATTAGTTCGGTCGCCTACTAGATAACCAAAGCTGAAAGTCGTTTTATTTTTTTTGCTAGTACAATTACATTTTTGTTTACATCCATTATTTATGATTATGATTATGTTCAAATCAGGGTCAAGCTGACGAGTCCATTCTAACGTGAAAGGGGGAGATGCTTTGATAGTTAAAAAAGATTTGATAATCAGATTCTATTTTGATGTTGTTTACTTGTAGTAAACTACTCTCATTTAATATCATATTGAGAGAAAATCGAATTGCTCTGCGGCCTCGACCATTAGTGGCACTGAGGGCAATTGGCTGGGAGCTCCTCCAGGTTCGGGGGCCCGAGGCAGCCGCTTATTGTTGCTTAATGGTAGCGCAGCCTCTGAGAGAGTGGTGTAGTCGTGTTTTGTGCAGCTATCTCTTTGCATTAACGTGACAATATAAAGCTTTGTGTGTGTTTTTTAAGGCCGCAGATCAACCAAAACAAAATGTCAGCCAATAGGACTGATACAAAGGCTGATAAAAATAAAGATAAGGCTGATATAAATATTGGCCCCATCTATCGGCCAACTTATATATACATGTCTATCTCTGCTTTACATGCCAGTGAAGAATAGCACAAGCAGCTGCACACTAAGTAAATTCATAACAATGCGCATTAAAACCCCATAACACGATACAAAAGTCTGTGCTGGGAGATTTGAATATTGTCACATCCTGAGGCAGAACACACTGGTCTCTGGAGTCCGACGTGTTGATGGATATTAACGTTTACAGCGCTGACACAGGTGCATTTAATAACGTGTCCAATGAATGTGTGAATTTGGCACGTACCTGCGCTGAAGTCTGGCCCTCCGCCCTGGCATTCCGACTGGTGCTCGTGCCCGTGCCAACTCCGGGGTACGAGTGCTGCATCCGGAGATCCCCCTTGCCCAGGGTCTGACTGCTGTGGTACCCGCTGCTGGCATCCTGGTAGCCACTGTCCGAGTAAGAGTTCATTTGAGTGGAGCTCCGAGAATTCCCAGCGGACCCTAGGAGAGATAGTGAGACATTCAAGACTACGTTCATACCATACTCCATATAACTGTGCAACAACTCACGCTTATGTAACAGAGGTTTGTGTACCATTCGTTTTTTTGAATTTCAATTAAGAATGAAAAACAATCAAATGGGAAAACAGTTTGTTATTTCATTATTCCGTTTTAGTGTCACCAGAAAACAAATTTCGACCTCTACTTCCAATATTTTTAATTTAAAGTTTGTTTTTTGATTGGTGTTATTTGAAATAGTCTCTGTGCCTTTTTTAATTTGGATAATTCATTCTCTCCGGTTTATTTGCGCCGGAGGTTCTGCAGCTGGAAGGACTTACCTGAAAAATCGTTGCAATTTTGTGGACAAACAGCGACGTGTTTACTTTCGCATCTTAGAAAGTCATTGTTGAACTCCATGACGAGAAACAAGTAGCAGTGATAAACTCTCCTTTGTTCAGTTGACACAATAGATCCATAATAAAAATAGTTTTTATTATAGATCCATGGTCGACACTGCTGCAGAACCTCCGGGGCAAATAAACCAGAGAAAATAAAATATCAAAATTAAAATAGGCATCGAGACTGTTTTTTGATTAGTGTTATTTGAAAAAAAATTTAATTAAATATTGGAAATAGAGATCAAAATCTGTTTTTTTGTTTGAGAGTAAAATGGAAAAATGAAATGACAAACTGTTTTGTTAAATTGTTTTTCCTTCTTAATTGAAATTCAAAAGAACAAATTACTACTACTTATTTAGAATGTATTATTACCATTTATATTTTTGCTATTTGTTATTATAATATATTGTGATGTGTGAGCTACTGTGTCCAAATAATTTCCCTTGTGCATCAATGAAGTTTGTCAAAGTCTAAAAATGAGGAGGGGAAAGTTGTCTGACCATCCAGTCCCTTCTACATTCTTTTGGAATATAAAAAGATCTGGAATTGGACAACAGAGAGTGAAAATGCTCCATCCAAACTTGAAATGATCCAACTACAGCCGCTAATTTCACGTGTCTCTCAAATGCAGAATACATCCCTCCAAAATTCTCATAACACTCATAACAAAAAATATAACTTTTGTACCTGGGATAAATAATAGTTTGGCGCTTTGATTGTTGATTTGGTAAAAAAAAAATCATAGTTTCTCAGTCCTTATTTTTGATACTTTACTGTGTCAAAGTTTCACATAAACAAAGTATGTATCGATCTACACTACCAGTCAAAAGTTTTAGAACACCCTAATTTTTCCAGTAATTTATTGCAATTCAAGTCGTGCAAGTCCAATGAAGAGCTTGAAATGGTGCAAAGGTAAGAACTGAATAGACAGAGTTTAAAAAAGATAGAAGATACAAAACACAAGTCCGAGCTCTGCCAAAACTACCTCAGGAAAAAAGAACAAGATGGTAAACTTGAAAACATGACTTCAACCCCATCGAGCTGGTTTTGAGATCAACTGGACAGAAGAGTAAAAGCCAAGAAACCTACAAGTGCCACACATTTATGGGAACTTTCTGAAGAATATTTGATTTCTATTGTAAAAAGAACGAGCCACGAGTGTGTTCAGCTGTTATATCTGCCAAAGGTGGACACTTTCATGAATCAAAAGTTTAGAATATGTTTTGGTCAACAGTAAAAAGTAAACACTAGACACAATATTTAGTTAAGTTTTTTTTAAATTTTTTATTTTATCCCCATTTTCACCCCAAAAGTAGATAAAAGTGTAAACCGCCATGTTTATTTTGATGCGAATGGACCATGCTTCTCTCTGATTGGTTAACCTGCCTGTCAATCACACCCTCTGAACTCAGCGAGACGGGATACAGCTCCAGATCGGCTCTTTGTAAAGTTTTGTCAAAGCTTGTGGTTCTGGCTCGTCAGGGAAAATAGGAGGAGAGAGAAGGAGAGGGGGAAGAGGGGAGAGGTTTAGGGGCCAGGAGACAGCCCAGTCACTGCAGTTACGTAAGAGACATGACCTTTAACTAGGCACCAGAGCTAATGACAAATGACTGGACCAAGGGAAAACTGCTCTTTAACCTCGCAATTTAACAGACCATTGTGGATTATTGAGCTTTTATTATCCGTAATGAAGGATCACAAGTAAAAGTCATGTGCTAAATATCAAGCATGGAGAGGGAAGGCAAAAGTCCTCTAAAGGGCTGCGCAATTAAAAAGACAATTTACAATCTTAATTAAATTTAACTGAGCCTAAAAAGATAGTCATACTTTTAATGAATACTTGCTGTTGTTGTCATTATAGAATCATTGTAAGAATAGGAAATATCTATAAGCAAATTAAAGTTTTAGGACATTATAAAATGTGTGTATCTTTTTATCTCAATAACAAATGCACCTGGGAATTACACTGTCAAATTCTGCGGTATTATTTTCTTTTTTTGTCACTTTTTTATTTATTTTTTTGGTTATGTGCACAATGTAACGTTTTGGTTGGGGGTCCATCACCTGCTTGTTTCTATGGAGATGGAGATTAAACAGCTCTACTTTACATTTATTCAATTACAGATGGTTTTATAGCTCTAAAATACCTAAAAAAACAGGCTTTCTGACTGTGAGTGGTGTCGCCTTTCCACAGATCTGACACGCTACCAGTGTTGGGCATTTTACTTCAAAAAAGTAATTAGTTACCGTTACAAATCACTTCCCCCATAAAGTAAAAGTAAAGCTGTAAAAGTAATTCATTACTCAGCAAAGTTATTATCCAGTTATTTTTCCTGTTCTGTACTATTGCCTGAAAAATCGAGTTTGGCTTGTTTTAATGCAGTGGCTCCATCTGCGTCTTCGCTCGAGCTCACGCTAAAAACTGCACCGGGGCTCGGGGTGAACAGCAGTGAGAGGTGTGTTCGCATGTGACGATGTGAGGCGCTTCATTAGATTCGAATTACTTGAGGCAAATGCGGACAGGTTTTTTTTTTCCCCCCAGGTCGCAGTTACACTTAACATACACATTCTTGCCCTTTATTCCAAAGAGGCAGAAATAGTGTCGGTATTTCCAGTTTGAATGTCCCTGGCTCCTCTTTGCCATTGTCGCATTCTCGTTGAGTTTGTCTCATTTATCTTGAAGTGTGCGGGAAAGAAACAACAAGTCAGGGTGAGCAGAGACTCCGCCCACCCAAATTCTTAGCCAATCATCTTGGTCCTGCTCTGTCCTGAGCTCCCCCCACTCCTGCTGATAATGTTTGTCTGTCCACTGCCTGACACCGCGCTACCACATTCAACTCAGTACATGCATCCTGAATTTTTGGACTTCCGGTCATCGTGCCATGCATACTGGGAAGGATCCTCTGAAAAAGTGAGCATCAAATTGCCATCTATCTAAATTGGCATCTATTGTCAAAGCTGATCTTTTCCAGTCTTTTGAACCATATCGCTTTTGTTTCTAGTTCTGATACTGTAAATTTTTTGTTATGGGACAGTTATTCGGACATTGTAATTGTGTGGTTGCTGGATGTCCCAACAGTGGAAAATGGGCTTCGGAAGTTTGCAAACTCCATAACTACAAAAGGGAATCAGATCTGTGTGACTGCAAACCACTGTTCAAACTGTTTTCCTTCCAAACGGAACTGAAAAACAGTGAAAGGCGATGGGCAGTATTGATACACAGGAAGGACGAAAAAGGAAACCTTTGACCACCTAAATCATCCCGAGTTTGCAGCAAACATTTTGTATGTGGAGCGCCATCAAAGCAAAATCCCGATCCCTCGCTCAACCTTAGTTACGAATTTAAAAAGTCAACGCCGAAGCGAAAGGCACCAGCTGTTCATCAACAAACACCTTCCACTGCAAAGCGACCAAGACGTGATGTTGCTGTAAAACCACAAGAACAAGAAAGTGCGAGCTCAGCCTGCTCATCTTCAGTACCTCTCGCTTAACAAATGGACTTTTGCTTTACTTAGATTACCCATTAGTGAGAATGAAGAGCCATTAGTAGCACCGTTCTACTTAAACGTGGTTATTCCCGACATTGCAAGCTACTTGGTCTGGTTTGGGCTCAATGAAGATACAAGGGCTTGGTGAAAACTCTGAAACATTCCTGACAAAGCAATAACATTTCCAAGGAGAAAAGCCAGAAAAGTTACACAATGCACCTTCAAATATCTACATTATAAAGTAGAAGTACAAGAAAAAGTTTGAAAATGAAAAACTCGTTCTCTTCATTTTCCCTTGTACTTTAATACCAATGGGGCAATCTGTCAAAAGTTGTGAATTACCAGTACAATAGCGTGTACCGGTACTTTTCTCCTGATCTTGAGACAGGATTTTGGTCTGTGTGTTTCAGGTCGATGTGGGATTCCAGGGAGCCCAGAGAAAACTCATCCAAAGAGACAGAAACAGAAAGAAAAGGTTGTTCACAGAAACACTCCTGGGATCAAATCTCCAAACTGTGAACAAAACTGTGAAGTGGAAGTGTGAAATACAGATCAATGGCCAAAACGTTCTGACCACTTTTATAACATATTAAGTCCTTGTTGTTGTTGGTTACTTTAATACAGCAAAGATTAATGTAGCAGTGGCTGTACCAGATTATTTTTCTGTGTAGTTGAGTGGTAGTTGAAATGTGTTTTAGCCCAGTTCCCCCCGGTACTGTATAAGCAGCCCTTAAAGTAAAAATAAGTAGGGCCACCGACACCAAAACTGGTATTGAATATCGGTAGAGGTCATGATATCGGTAAAGGTCAGTCGATATCCTTGTTTAATTGGATGTAATAAGACTATATAGGACCGATTCTGTGCTATAACATCTCATAAGATTTGAACTTTTATTCATAAAAAGCTGTTCAGTAGTGATTTGAAGGATAAATTCACCCTTATGTAACAGATAATACTCCCTACAACTGTACAACTCACCCTTATGTAACAGATAATACTCCCTACAACTGTACAACAACTCGCCCTTATGTAACAGATAATACTCCCTACAACTGTACAACAACTCGCCCTTATGTAACAGATAATACTCCCTACAACTGTACAACAACTCACCCTTACAACTGTACAACTCACCCTTATGTAACAGATAATACTCCCTACAGCTGTATAGCAACTCACTTTTATGTAACAGATAATACTCCCTACAACTGTACAACAACTCACTTTTATGTAACAGATAATACTCCCTACAACTGTACAACAACTCACTTTTATGTGACAGATAATACTCCCTACAACTGTACAACAACTCACCCTTATGTGACAGATAATACTCCCTACAACTGTACAACAACTCACCCTTATGTGACAGATAATACTCCCTACAACTGTACAACAACTCACTTTTATGTGACAGATAATACTCCCTACAACTGTACAACAACTCACCCTTATGTGACAGATAATACTCCCTACAACTGTACAACAACTCACCCTTTATGTGACAGATAATACTCCCTACAACTGTACAACAACTCACCCTTATGTAACAGATAATACTCCCTACAACTGTACAACAACTCACCCTTTATGTAACAGATAATACTCCCTACAACTGTACAACAACTCACCCTTATGTAACAGATAATACTCCCTACAACTGTACAACAACTCACTTTTATGTAACAGATAATACTCCCTACAACTGTACAACAACTCACCCTTATGTAACAGATAATACTCCCTACAACTGTACAACAACTCACCCTTATGTAACAGATAATACTCCCTACAACTGTACAACAACTCACCCTTATGTAACAGATAATACTCCCTACAACTGTACAACAACTCACCCTTATGTAACAGATAATACTCCCTACAACTGTACAACAACTCACCCTTATGTAACAGATAATACTCCCTACAACTGTACAACAACTCACCCTTATGTAACAGATAATACTCCCTACAACTGTACAACAACTCACCCTTATGTAACAGATAATACTCCCTACAACTGTACAACAACTCACCCTTATGTAACAGATAATACTCCCTACAACTGTACAACAAACTCACCCTTATGTAACAGATAATACTCCCTACAACTGTACAACAACTCACCCTTATGTAACAGATAATACTCCCTACAACTGTACAACAACTCACCCTTATGTAACAGATAATACTCCCTACAACTGTACAACAACTCACCCTTATGTAACAGATAATACTCCTACAACTGTACAACAACTCACCCTTATGTAACAGATAATACTCCCTACAACTGTACAACAACTCACCCTTATGTAACAGATAATACTCCCTACAACTGTACAACAACTCACCCTTATGTAACAGATAACCCTATGTTGTCAATCATCATATCATTGCTGCACTGTCTTCCTATGACCTCTTGTATAAAGCTGTGATTTTTGTATTTACTTATATATATATGAATTTATTTTACTATTTATATTTTTGCTCTTGGTTATTATATTATATTGTTTGTATATATGTGTGAGCTACTGTGCCCAAATAATTTCCCTTGTGGATCAATAAAGTCTAAGTCTAAAGCTGAATCACATTACACCCCTTGGTCATATCACTTTCATCCGTTTTGCGAGTTCACATGCAGGGGTGGGGGTGTCCCAGTTACCGTTATGGCAGAGGGGTAGGGGAAAGTGGTAGGGCTATATACCCCTCCAAACGAAGATTTTTCAGAGGCACACTCCCGATACAGCGGTATGAGCAATTTCTCAGACCACAGAGGCCCAAAGGAGTTCACAAATCGTAGACGGCATGTTGGATTTCTGGCAAAAGCTCATCGCGTCTGCTTACGTAAAACTCTGCGGAGACTACTGATGACGTACGAGATTGTTATAGGGGTGTCCCAATTCGTAGAGGTTTACTTTCAACTAGGGATGGGCATTCGATAACATTTTCTTAATCGATCGTCGGGAGAATTAACGATCAATTATCGATTAATCATTAACGTTTTTATATTAAAATTATCATCATTATTATTATTACTATCTGCACTAATAATCTGCATAAATAAATTCAACTTTACGACATATAAACCGTAACCACTCTAGAACCACATCAGCCCCTTTGAGATTATAATGTTTAATGCAGATTTGCTCAAGTCTCACAGAAACGAAACTTAAAACCGCATGGCTAATTTGCATAAACTAAGCAAAGAAAAAAAACTGCGCTGATGCGGCACGACTCAGTGGAATACAGGTTAGTGTGACCATATTTGCGTTTGTCAAAACCAGGACACTGTACGGAGGGTGGGAGGTGGGAACTCGTCATCGACATAGCGCTGCTCTCACCTGGCAAAGCTTTTTCATGTTTTCGTGGTCCTGATGAGCTTTTTCCCACTGGACACCGAAACACATGTGCTGCTTTGTACACTGTGCACATGGCCTCCCACTTTTCCCGACATTGTTAAATATGCATTTGCACTTCAGTACGTTGCAGGTTGACCGACTGTTTGTGTCTGCTCGCCCCTTCTGAGTGCAGAGAGCTACATGCACGGACCCGTTTGTCCCCGGACACGGACGTTTGGTCACCCTACGCTACGTACAGCATCCTGCATTTGATTTGTCGATTAAAATGAACATAATCGTTAAAATTCTTAATGATCAATTAACGATTAATCGGCTAATCATGCCCATCCCTACTTTCAATCCTTACCCCTTGTTGCTGAGTTTCAAGGGGTAACGGGTAGGGGGTAGAAAATAGAAATGGGATTAGTAGTCTTTTCCGTCCCTGCACTGAAATCGGTTAATATTGTACTGAATCTGGATCGGTGCATCTCTACAGCAAAAATAATCCCGCTGTTTGTTTGCATCTGATTATAAAGATTGCTATCCTGCGAGAATATGGAAATGCGCTGTCAACATGCTAGTCTTTGGCATCACCGACGGCAAAACTGAGCTGGTGTTTTTGTTAAAGATAAAAACTCAGCCTAAATATGCATGTGTGTATTGGAAAAAAAAACATCTCCAGGTATGTTTTGGTGAGGAAACATTATAAAATAGATGAGATAACAGTGTAGAATGGTTCTTTTGCCTTTAATAAGAATAATAAAGCTGTCACCCTGCTTTCATTACAAGATTTATGAGGTTAAGAAAGTGTTAGTAATATGATTTTAGGGAAAAGACGGAGAAATTATGAGTCAGCAGCAACAAGAGAGAAGTAATAACAGACCCTCACTTTCATGGAGAGAGGACTGCTCCGGGGAGTACAGAGACACCTGCTCCGACTCGGGCCTGATGCGGTAGCTAGGCGACTGGGAGCTGTCAGTCATCCGAGATTTGGCATCCCCCGAGGTGGAGGCATCTGGGGAGACAGAGGAAAACAAGGCAGTCAGAAAACGAGGAAGAGTTTCGCGTCTCCAAAAATTACAGCTCTCTCATCAAAGGGGAATATTTAAATAGCCATTACCAGCGTCAGTTCTGGAGTTGAGAGAAAACAATAACAGATGATATTTTCTGCTACATTAGTTTTGCTTTTGTGCAGCAGCGAGTCATTATGTTTTAGTGCCCGGCTAATTTAGGAATCCTAAATTAGAGCACATTTCACAGCACAGTATGGAAATGGATATTACTGTACATTATTATGACCAATGCTTTCAAGTTGAGCTGGACATTGCCATATTAAATCTTTTGGAATGGTTGGAAATTGTGTTAGTTTTATTATTATGTTTATTATTATGGTTTATTATGTAATGCCATACCTCAGGGTTCAAAATTTATAAACTTTTCCATGACTTTTTCAGGACCTAAAGTGAATTTTCCATGACTTTACGAGATCTTACATATGTAGAACTGAGCAAACTTTTAGGGCTAAATCTGAAATGTTAACCCTTTCCACTCACCTTATGGTTTGGTTTTATAGTTTTTTTAACCTTCAAAATACTGTCAGTGCATTTATTGTCGTCTCCTTTAAACAAAAGGCGCACACGTTCGGAAATAATCATAACAGTCTAATGAGAACTTAACAGAACAGTGTAGTTGCATGAAAGAGATGCTAAAATTCTGTAATTTTTCCAGGCCTGGAAAAGGACATTTTCACTTTCCATGACTTTTCTAGGATTTCCATGACCGTGGGAACCCTGATATACGTAATCTATAATAATGTTGTATTATTTTGTAAGAATAGGATGAGACAGAATTCCCACATGACAAAATAAGACACAAGGCTGGGTGGCTCCATAAATTTTCATGTGTTCTCTCATGTGTTAAAATTATAAATAATGAACCTTGGAGAATTTTTACATATTTACAAGAAATAAATCATGTGGTACACTTTTTTCCCCATTTTTTCCCCGCACAATTTTTATTACTTTTGCTGTAATTCTTGCAATGCTTTTGTGGAACTCACATGTGCACAGTCTTGTGACAATTTTATCTTGTGAGATTTGTGATGGTGCAACTTCACTGCAAAACATTTTACTGCCTTCATGACTAAAATCACTTTTACTCACAGTATGTATCTTGGTTAGACATGTGCTGGCTAGATAAGACTTTAGTTTCTCTCATTTGTTTAAACAGCCATTTTCCGCAAATAGGATTTTTCTTTGGGATAGAAGACTTGAGTGCAAATGTCTTACTTTGCTATTTGTCTAGATAGCACGTTTCATATTTAATTTACAATATTAAACTTGTATTTCATACTTTTGACTACTTTAATTTAGTTAATAGGTAGGGGTGTGCAAAAATACTGAAATATCGATATATCATGTCGCTTAATGTGATGATACAGTATCAATATTGTGGGCTGCTGTATTGATATATCGGCAAGAGTATTTTTTGGTATATTTTACAAAATTATTTTGTTACAGCGCTACTGTTTTGTTGCTTGTTCAGAAGAAGGAAACTTGTTAATGCAACACATTTGACATTTTCACTGTTTTGATGATTAAAATGGGCATGTTTCATATGAACTTTGCACAAAAAGTGGTTTAACAAAGACTTAATTTAGCTTTTATTTTGTATTGAAACGTATCGAACCAATTTGAATTTATCGTATTGAATCGAAAGTGCACTTTATCCAGGTTGGTATCATATCGGCAACTTCTTAATGATCCCAGCTCTATTAACTAAATTAAACTAGTCAAAACTATGCAATACAAGTTTAACATTGTAATTTCAAGTAAATTTAATGGGATACATATGATTTTTCCCATTAAGATTTTCCCCTGGTCTGCTGGTCAGTGGTTTATCACACACCAAAACGTAAACATTAGCTTAACATTGTACAGCGCTAAACCTTTTTACCCATGCATTACAACAAGTGTGAAAAACAGCTCTGAATTCACTCCCTAATGTCCGTGCACTGAAAGCCTCACAATCTGGTTAAGCATGACCAGCATCTCGACATCACAACAATGCGCCGTAAACAGGCTGGAATACGCAGACCCACACGGCAGTACCAGGCCTCGGTAATAGGCCTGTCACAATAACTACTATATGGACTTATCGTTGTACATGTGCATTTATATAATTATGCTTTATTGACATCAGTTTCTTGCCATTTCTGCTGCTTATTTAGAATTTATTACACCACTTCTCTTCGTTATTACAATAAGTCTAAGTCATGAGTCCTCGGTAATGCCTCAGTAATGTCTTCGAGTCTCAGTGAGAATAATAGCAGGACCCCGTGAAGAACCCGTCTGACCCCTGGAAAAGACCTGTTGCTAAAATGTGTTTACAAAAAGGCCTAGTGTGTTTGACAAGCTGCCATCCGCCATCAGCGCTTTGGGACTTCTAAAGCACTGTTTAAAATGGGATAAGTTTGAAGTGAAGGGATCTAGAGTTACGCTGCCAGAGTCTATATTAGCGGAACCTCTGCACAAACATTATGCAAAAAGGACTCTTGTGAGCTTTAAGACATGTTATCGTGTTGTTACGGCATCAAAAACATAAAAAAACAGAGCTGGAGTTGTGTTTTGTTTCATTCACACATGTCTGAGTAACACTTTATTATTAGTCTGTCTACATCTCCAAAGCTCAAAATGCTCTGCTCCACCTTCTGATGTCATGAAGCTGTAGTTTTCAAGGTAACAGCTAAATTTACCAAATCATCCAAATGATTCTAGTCCAAGCCCCGGGGTTTCAGAATGGCCACTCGTTCAAGTCAATGGGCCGAGCTCAATGGCACATGATTCCAGATTCCCCTTTAGCCCGGTGAGGTACTTCTGGTGACTCTGGGCCGATTGAGCATGTGCAGTTGTGCTCTTTTCTCCCTTTATCACACGATCACTTTGACCAATCAGAGCGAGAGGAGCAGAGTGGAGCTGGAACTAACAATTATAAAGCGTTTTTTTTAAAGACAACTGAAGGATTTTGAGCTGAGAAAAAGTTTATGATCTAAAAATAGGTAAAAATCGCCACAAAATCCGTCATTTTTTAAAAGTTGTGGGTCCCCTGTCAGCCGAACATGAGCAGTTTGTGATTACATTGCGCTCTATGACAAAAATCCATTCTCAGCCCAGGGGATTTTTTTCCACTGAAGTACCAGTGAGTTAACCAGGCTGGCGCAACCTTGTACCTCCTCTCAATTTCATTTCGCTCCAGCGACTAGGTCAGGAATCAGAATACACTAGACGGTTCGCAAGAGCCCCATAAGTGCGAGTTCAGGCACCAGCCAATCAGCAAAGAGCCATACATTCTGTACGATTCCCGAGATTGATTATTTAAAGCCGGAACAAAGAGCATGTTTGGTGAATTTTATCAAATGGAAAGATGTTATTGCCCTTCTTCCTACAGGATTTGGGAAAAGTCTAATATAACAGTTAGCCCCGTTAGCAGCACATTACATATGTCACAACCAAATAGCAGCGATTGGTTAAGTAAAAAAAGTACCAGCCTACTGTCGAGTGAATGAATTCTAATACTGCGAGGTCAGACGGTTTCTACAAAGTGAAACCGGCTGATGAATCAGGCTACCCGTGAGCGGCTACTACGTCAACTGGAGCAGCTACAAACAAGCAATTTTAATAGATCCGTGTTCTAGTGAAGGTGAATGGAGTTAAAAACACACTGGAGCACTTCCTGTATCACCACATGACATCACAAGGTGGAACAGAGTGTTTTCTGTTTGAGAGAAAATCCTAGATATACAGAGTTTGTGTGTTAAACATGTGTGAATGAAATAAAACACAACTCCAGGTTTGTTTGTGAGGAGGAAATATTATAACAGAAAAATAGTATAATATGGGCCCTTAAAGCATTAGTATTGTTTATAGCAAAGTTTTAATATTGCTGTTGAACTCATTTGCATGCTGTTTCGTATTTCAAAACCAGCATAAAGTTGTTTAATAGTCCAAAGGCCATTTCTGCATTTTTAAACATGTATTTGCTGGAAACCAAATGTTGATATAGCTTTACTAAAGTTCTGCATTTCTCCTCTGATGTTTACAACCATCACTTAGGACCATAGGGACTTTACACTGGGCCCTGACCCGCTTTGATAAACGATGTGCCAAAAAAGCCAAAATGGGGCACAAAAAGCAGAGAGAACCGGAGGCGAAGACAGCATTCTGTTCATCACGCTCGGAGAAAAGATGGCCGCCTTCAAAACAGTGTGGCTGCACATTATTGCCACTAAAATGTGTGACTCCACTGCTTAAATGCCAGTGCATTTAATGATCAGACTTGGAGACATTTGGAAGAGAGAAAAACGGCTAACTGCTTTCATAATCTGCTTATTTAACTTTAACTCCATGGGAAATTGAATCCGTAAATGACTTGATGTGGTCTGTAAAAACGGTGAAGTACAGATGTAAAAAAGAGCAAGTCTACCAAATGAAACAGCAGCGATATAGACCCTTTGGTTCTGGTATAACTTAGAAGGAAGTGTTTTGCTCAGATACACAAAGGCAATGCCAATACTAGCTCTGATACAGTTTAAGATTATTCTAAAGCTACTCAGGAAAGGTTCATTTCTGTCTTGCTGATACCTTTGATACCCGTCTTGCTTTTTTTGATACCTGCTCAAATGAATATCTAGTTTTAATTTTGATTAGTTTCTACTTTTCGACACTCTTGGACGACCCTAATCTCAATATTGTTAGAAATGAAAGGTCCGTTTGCCTTTGCTTCAATTTTGATAATATTTGGATTTGGTATTTATTATTAAGATGGTGTTTTCCCTTTTGAAAATAAGAAAAATCTAAAAGGAAAAATAATTGTGATTTGTAAATCTATGATTATATTGTGACTCCTTAATAAATATATATATATAAAAAAAGAAAAAAAAGAAATGAAAGGTCCTATATTACACAAAATTGACACTTATGAGCTTTAAGCCATGTTTTAATGTTGTTACCACCTCAAAAACGTACCTAGAGTTGTGTTTTGTTTCACTCACACGTTTGAGTAATCATGTGTTATTAGTAGGGTGTAACGATATCCAAGTCTCACGATACGATATCGTCACGGTATGAACCTCACGGTACGATATTTACTGCGATATCGTGGGAAAGCTCACGATATGGTTCGGAGGCTCATGATTAGGGATGTAACAATATCCAAATCTCTTAGTACGATATTTTCACGATATACATCTAATGGTACGATATTTATTGTGATATTTTGTCAAGGCTAAACATCTAAAACTGTTAATATGTGACTTTTTCCTCTTAAAATGCCTTGACAAGACTTAATTCAAAGAACTAAGACTTAAAAGTGCTTAGAACTTATTTCTTCTTGTAGTCTACACCGAAATGGAGCAAAGGATCATGGTCTATGTAGTCCCCTGTCTTTTTTTTTTGCTATTGCTGCACCATAACTCTTAATTTCTCTCTTAATTTAAGCAAAGAGACTTGTAATTTTATATATTGTGACGGTCCAGGGTGTTATTGTGAGAAACTTTGACGATACCACGATATTTCAAAACGCTCTGTTCCAACTTGTGATGCCATGAAGTGATAGTTTTCGAGTTAACAGCAAATGTTTTACTTTTAATTCAGAGATTGGCAGGTCACAGAGTTGAAAACATCAAAATGATTTACATTATCTCATGAGCGTTTTCTGTTTGAGAGAAAAACTCAGCCTAAATATGCAGGTTTTATGTGTGTGAATGAAACAAAACACAACTCCGGGTCTGTTTTGGACGAGGAAACAACATTTTAACAAACAATAGATCAGAAAATAGTGTGAAATTGGCCCTTTAAGGCTGTATTTACCACTTTAATTTTAACTCGCAAGGTTGTACTTGTAACTTTCCGAGTACGGAGTGTGTTTTTGAGAGGTGATAGGAGGAAGCAGTGATGTGAAGAAAACCTAAAAAACACAAAACGACAAACACTGAACCGGAGTGTGACTGCAGTACGTCCTGTCCCTGCCCGCGGTGGTCATGAGGTGTGACTGCATTGACATTTCCTGGGGCTAAAAGCTCGGTTTCCACGGCAACGCGTCTATCTCCCTCACTCACGCATCCAGCTGCTCATAAGGCCAATAACACTTCGCCCCAACACTTTCTAATGGAGGCTAAGTACATCGTTTATCATCGCCGGGACAACGCCGAATCAATACTAAACAAACTCGTGATCGTGATTAGCTCTCTCTAATGAAATGCGATGCGGAAACAAATGAGAAACCAATGTTGTGTTAATATTCCCTGTGCATATGTACAGCTATCGCCCCCCGCAGGCCGTTTTGACAGCGCTGACAATAAAAGATTAATGGCCACGGAGCGAATTCTGAAAACGCAATTAATAAGCCATGAAATACATAGTAAATTCAATTCATTATCTCACTTTGACTGAAGATCTTTGAAGGATGCAAGCTATGGGCAATCAGAGAGCGAAGGGGGTCCAGCGGTAATCCCAGTCGACTGGGCCGGTGGTTTTGGAGCGCAAATAGCAAAGATAAATATTCACGCGAGGATGTGTCCGAGGAGACTTGTTTCATGTGAGTAATGATTACAGAGATGCACTGTAAAAGTTTGATACGGCCATTAAGGGCTCGTAAAATCAAGTTATTTATGCGAGGTGATATGTCATACATGAACAGCAGAGGAAGCGGGGGGAGTGCATATTTTAAAAGTGACTAAATGTTTGAGACTGGTAAGTTAGAAGAAAGTAGAAGAGTGAGAAATTAAAGTATGTTTTAGTACACAGGCTTAAAGGGGTACTATGTAATTTTTTGGTTCAGGGCCTGTCAGCTTCTTGTTTCTATGGATATGTCATGGCGAATGTCCTCCTGGCTTTAAAGTCCCAGCTCGAGCGTCAAATTCTCTCAGCTTGAACGTCCCCCTCCTCCCTCCAGGCGCCCCCTTTTCTTGGGCGGCTGCTGTACCCGGGAGAGGGGGGGCGTTCGAGCCGGCCTTTAGTATGTGATGTATTGAGTTAGAAAATCAGCAATCTATATAATTAAAAAATTTAATGTGAATGTAGTGAGACCAAATGACGGCCTTGTTTATGTTATTTTACTGACCTTCCCGAAGTGGCAGACATAGTTTCAGTTTGTAATATCAATATAATCCTCATTTGCTCGCAGAAGTTTACTATGAAATCATATTTTTTATAATTTTTTCTTGTTCCCCATGTCTTATAGCATCTGTTGATTATATAACTTATAGCTGTTGATTTGGGAAGAAAAACTAATTATTTCCTTACCTGCCATGAACATAATTTGTAAGCAGCACAATGCAAGAAACGTAGAAAGTTACAGAATTTGTTCAAAAATAATTCAGAATCACTTTTCCTGAAATAGTTACGGCACAGTTGAGACCACATAATTTTAGCATGTTTTTTTTTTGTATGAAATGTGTTGAGCTATATTGTAACTTGTGTGTGTACAATATATAATGACAAAAATGTTTTTATGTATATAGATTAACTAAATTAGTTAATAAAAGGTACAATTCAGGGGGACTTTCCAGCTTCGGGACTTTCCAGCTGGTTCTCGTCACGGCCCTGCTTAAGAATGTTCCACAGTATGATATTGAACAGCTTTGTCTTACATTATTCAATTACAGGTGGTCTTAGAAAAACACCTTTTGTTTAACTGAATTTGGAAATTCCAGGTCTGAAATCATCCAAATGATTCTAGTGAAGGTGTATGGAGTTTAAAAACACAGTGGAGCACTTCCTGTATCACCACATGACATCACAAAGTGGAATATGCAGGGTTTGTGTGTTAAACATGTGTGAATGAAACAAAACATTATAACATACACTCAAAATGGTCAAACCTTTTAGAACACCACACTTTTTACAGTTTTTTACCGTTTACTGTCGACCAAAATGTATTCTAAACTTTTGATTCATGAAAGTGTCCACCTTTAGCAGATATAACAGCTGAACCACAAATATTCTTCAGAAAGTTCATCCCAAGTCTGTTGCAGAAGTTCCCATAAATGTGTGGCACTTGTAGGTTGTTTGGCTTTTACTTTTCTGTCCAGTTCATCCCAAAACCAGCTCGATGGGGTTTAAGTCTGGAGACTGCCCTCGACACTTCATGTTTTCAAGCTTTACCATCTTGTTCTTTTTTCCTGAGGTAGTTTTGGCAGAGCTTGGACTTGTGTTTTGTATTTTTTATCTTATTTTTAACCTCTGGCTGTTCAGTATTTACCTTTGTACCATTTCAAGCTCTTCATTGGACTTGCATGACTTCAATTCCAATAAATAACTGGAAAAATTAGGGTGTTCTAAAACTTTTGACCGGTAGTGTAGATCAGAAAACAATGTAATGTAAAATCTTGCATCTACACAGTATAGATCAACACAGAGTTTAAATGAACCTACCTGGTACTCGCCAAGGCAGAGACTTGTCAGACGAACTGTAAAGAGAGAAAACAGGAGATTTCAATGTTGGTTCAGTAAACGCTGTAAAATACACTCTGAAGTACATGTTATAAGTGAAACCCTCTAGAGGCAATACACAGACCACTAATCATAACAGGGCAGGCCAAAGCTTCAGACTCCCAGTGCTGTTTAACTGAGATGTGATGTCCATTTGTGTCAACAGTTTATCAATGCAAAAGGTCCCCGGGGCGACAACTGAGGCCTGTGCGGTCATCAGCGAAACCACAACACGGCCGTAGTAAAGCTGGGATGCTACAGATCGGGTTACATAATGACACCAGAGAAAAATGAGAAGCAATAGAGAGGAAAATAAAATGCTTTGTTAACTGCAGACTGAAGAATTGTCTGGCTTCTTACAATTTGTCATGAATCGGCAAATAGTTATATAGGCTGTTTGGGAAGTAGTTTCAGAGGTAGTCGTTAAAGACAGAGCGTTATATCGATATTTGCACTTTTTAGCGTATCAGCTATTGGGTTTAAAGGTGCACTGTGGAACTTTTCTGGTGGAGGGGCCGTGAAAGTGAATGGTTTTCGTCACAAAGATGTTATTGCTTTGTCTGGAAAGTTTCACAATATGGTTTAAACCTTTCTATCTTTATGGAGACCAAACAAGACCAAGTTACAGGTCAGATCTGTGGAGAGGCGACCCCGCTCATAGTCAGAATCTCTGCTTTTTGGGTTTTTTTGTAGGTGTATTTGAGCTAGAAAACCGCCTGTGATTGAATAAATGTAAGGTCGAGCTGTTTAATGTCATACTGTGGAACATTCCAGGCAGAGCAATGGCATATCCATGGAAACAAGCAGGTGACGAACCCACGACCAAAAAATTTACACACACTGATATCTTGTTTTGGTCAACTTGCTGCCTAAAAATACCCATAAAGCTTTGTTTGAACACTTTAGTGAAATGAGAAAATGGCATGACATATTAAAAAAAAAAAAGGATGTGGGTGTGGGATTTTTAGTATATTTTAATTACACAAATTGAGGAAAATAAACAACATATCTTTACATATCAGCTCAAGAATATCGGCAGAGCTTATCAGTCATCGGTATCAGCAATTGCCATGAAAAAAACACAAATCAGTCGGTCTCTAGTCATCATCTGAAACCTTTAGTTCCATTGACCACTCCTTGATAAACGAGGGATTACGTCATCATGCTACACCTTAAATTACGATGAGTAAGAGTAAGATAAGTATTGCATTTGAACTGACCACAATCAGTGCAATTGCTTTTTGAGTGAGTGAAATCCACAAGTAATACTTCTGTAAACATTTTCAAAGACTTTAAATTATGAGTGTGCATTGCCTTAAGTCTGACGATACAATACATGTCACAATTCAATACATCATGACATATCACGATACTATAAGAATTTATCCATAATTGCTTCTAATAATACTGTCACCTTCACCTTCATGAGAACACAGTTGTACAAAATATAATTTATAAATGTTTAAAATCATAAGATCAGTGAATGTAATGAATTATTTTTTGTGAAACATATTATTTTTAAAAATTGATTCGAGAATTGTGCAAAGTATCAATATATATCACTGAATCAAATTTTTCTTACACCCCTATTTTAAATGTGCTTGGCGTATAGCATTTAAAACGTGCATTATGTAACTTTTTGGGTCCGTCACCTGTTTGTATATATGTATATATATGGATTTGTCATTGCTCTGCCTGGAATGTTCCACAGTGTGACATTAAACAGGTCTACCTTACATTTATTCAACTAGAGGTGATTTTATTGCTCAAAAAACTGACCTTTTTAAAAAAAAATTATTATAGGTATTATTCTGACTGTGAGTGGGGTCGCATCTCCACAGATCTGACCTGTAACTTGGTCTGGTTTGGCCTCCATGAAGATATAAATGTTTAATGCCATACTGTGAAATATTCCAGGCAAAGCAATAACATCTCCATGGACAAAACCATTTGACAGACCCTCCACCGGAAAAGTTACACAACGCACCTTTAAGATAAACGCATTTTTATATTTTAATATTGAGAAAATTGTATACGTATTAAAAAAAATTTTTTGTAGATTTGTGAATTGTCCCCATTCAAATTGTGATTAATCTTAAAAATCAGACTCTACAATACTACCAGAACATCTCACCTTTGTTTATCCTTAAAGTCTTTCCACAGAAGAGAAACCACTTCCTCTCTTCTCCCTCGTCTTTGCTGCTTATTAACTCGGACAGGGGTCACATACCAGACCCTTCCGAATCTCCACCACTCCTTTTGCCTAATTCTCTCCATTCCTTTACTCCTTTATTTTGCACCTGATGCCCTGAGCCACGCTTCTATTTTTTTCTCCCACCTTTAAGAAAATCATCTTCTCTGATTTTAATGAGCACACAGGCAATTAAAAACGGAGGAAGTCAGCTGCGTCTTGCTCCAATGAACTGAGACAAATGGAGGAGCAGTATCGTGCCAAACGAGAGATGCACCAAAAGCTGTGACAGAGCGCTTCGTTTTATCGAACCCGGCGGGGAGGAGAGACACCGGAAGGTCTTCAGGTTTCATGTTTGTCATTTTTTTCGTCTCTTCGTGGTGAAATTTGGCTCGAGGCAATCGAAACATACAGGTGTAACATGACATAACAAAAGAAAAATTGTAGAACTGGACAATATACAATCACGTAGACTGCCCACATTTCCACATTTTGCTTTTTTGCTGTAAGGGGGATCAGGCGGGTGGATCAATCACAGAGCAGTATTAAGGTTTGTGGGAAGCCAAAGGTGAAGGGCCCAAAGGAACCGAAACAAACAAGGCGACACCAACAGACGTACAAGTCAATACGGACTATTTTGTTTGTGAAAAACATGCAGAAGGTAAGCACTTTGTGGAGTTGTGGACAGAGAACATGTCTGCTCTGCTTCAAATTTTCTACTTGTTCCACTACTGTGAGTCCTGCACAGGTCCATTTTTGGAGACCCGCACCCGCCCGCACCCACTCAATACAGCACCGCACTCGCCCGTTAACCCGTGTTTATGTCAAAGTTAAATCCATTAACCTGTTAACATTCGACCCCCGTTACCCGTCCGTGCCCTTCAAGAATTACGATCACTTCAGTACGAATACGAATTCAGAGACGCGACTCGACTTCACAGACTTTATTTACTGAGCAGAAGTAACACTGAGCAAGATGCTGGACTTTTGTGCCGCACATGCCACGGACTGAACCAAGACTGAACCAGGATTAAACCAGGACTGAACCAGGACTAACCTAGGACCGATCCCAGGACTGAACCAGGAGGACTAAACCAGGACTGAACTAAGACTAAAACAGGGCTAACCCAGGACTAACCCAGGACTAACCCAGGACTAACCCAGGACTAACCCAAGACTAACCTAGGACTATCCTAGGAGTGATCCAGGACTGATCCCAGGACTGAACCAGGAGGACTAAACCAGGACTGAACTAAGACTAAAACAGGGCTAACCCAGGACTAACCCAGGACTAACCCAGGACTAACCCAGGACTAACCTAGGACTAACCTAGGACTGATCCCAGGACTGATCCCAGGACTGAACCAGGAGGAATAAACCAGGACTGAACTATGAATAAAACAGGGCTAAATTAGGAATAAACCAGGACTAAAACAAGACTAAACCATTAATAACCCAGGACTAACCTAGGACTGATCCCAGGACTGAACCAGGAGGACTAAACCAAGACTAAACTGGGACTAAAACAGGGCTAAACCAGGACTAAACAGGACAAAAATGAGAACTAATCCAGGACCGAGTGTCAGGACGGGCCCAGAGGTGCGCCCATGTAGACCGTTGGGTGACTGCAGGTAAAAGGACCGGCGCAGAGCTCCGCGCACCATGAGGCTAAGCGCAGCCGTTGCCCGATTGCTCTTTGCTGACACCCTGCTCCGTAAGATCGGGGTTTTCTCTCAAGTCGAAGATTAGTCCTGGTTTAGACCTAGTGTCGTCCTGGTGTCGTCCTCGTGCAGTCCTTGTGCAGTCCTGGTTTAGTCCTCGTGTTGTCCTGGTGTTGTCCTGATTTACTTGCCCGCATATCGGTCTGTAAAAATTCGTTAAAACATTAAAACCCATCCGTTTCAACAACTATTTGCCATTTACCATTTTCCAAGTTAGACGAGTGTCACTGCAGTATGTGTGTGTAGGCGACTAAAAGGGAGTGGTCGTTTTACGGGGGGAGGGGATGAGTGTAGGATGACTCCAAGCCGACTTGTCACCTGCTGAGCTTTTGAGGTGAAGTCGTTCGGATGCAACACTAAAAGCTAATCTCTATTGACTTACAAACGACTACTATTAGCAGTTGAGTTTAAGCTATTGGGACTTCCGTAAAGGTGTGAAAATGAGGTGGTATGTTTTCTTAGTAGAGCTTTAGATTTGGTAGAAAAGAAGAGAAAGCACTTTACACTTTACTACATGCACAACCAAGTCAAATAATAATACAAGGAAAATGATAGTTTTTAAATTGGTGCATTATCAAACTGAAATTCACAGTTATAACTCAGTGGCATTTACTTGATTAACTTGTATCATAACTTAAAATTGTATTTGTTGGAGTAGTTTTCAGACATACTTTTACTTTAGTAATATATTTGACAATACTTACTTATTAGATTAAAAGTTTTGATTACTTTTCCCACTGTGAATAAGTTTACAGTGACAAAAGTTTATGCCGACAATACTGAACAGAAATTGGAGGACACAGATAAGAAAGGAGCAGGTCCAGTTTTAGTTTAGTAGTTTAAATAATAAAAATTAAGTAAATTAACTATATCAACACATAAAATACATTTACAATATGAAAACCTAAATCAATTAAAAACCATGTGACCAAAATTGTGAATTGATTCCATTGTTATTAGTGTATTTTTTGGACTATAAGTCACACTTTTTTTTATGGTTTGGGTGGTCCTGTGACTTATAGTCAGAAAAATACGGTAATTATTTCAAAATCTTGTCTCGTCCCTA